AAAAAAAAGCGAACCTCCCTCCGCGCACCACGGGGTAGGGGGGGCAGCCGCTTCTCTCCATCGGGCTGTTCCCCTCCCCCACTCCGGTGCCTCTTCTCGGAGGGGTGACTTTTTTCAGCCAAAGGGTGGAGGCTGAAAAGTCCCCAGTGGTGTTGGGGAGACGTCGCTCTGCCACGCGCTGTGGCCTCGCTACCTCGGCCCTCCCCTCCCTCGGCGCCGGGGGCTGGAGGGGGGGGGCTGCTCAGGGCCAACCTTCACGCAAAAATTAGCTTGGAGGGGGAAAAAAAACCAACCAAACAAAAAAATACAACAAAAAAATACGCGGTTCTGGGCCTTCTCCTGCCTCTGGCCTCCAAAAAAAAGTTGTTTGTTGGTGTTTTTGGGAGAGCGAGCGGCAGCGCTGTCGTGGGCAGGCCCCGCCTCGGAGTGTCGGTGTCGGGGAAGGGAATCTGAAGCCTCCCCCTTGTCTCTCTTGTGATTCAGGGAGCATAGACGCTATTTCTATGTTAACGAGCGCTCGGGAGAGTCGCAATGGGAGTTCCCCGACGGGGAGGACGAAGAGGAGGGACAGCGACCCGCCGACAGAAAAACCGACGGTCCTCCTAAACCACCTCCCAAAGACAAAGGAGAGCGCGCCGAGGACGCCGCCGAGCGCTCCGCAGGTACGGCACGGGGGGTCACCACAGTTGGGGGGGGGTCCCAGCCCCACAGCGGGGTGTTTGGGGGGGTCCCACCAAGGGCTAGAGCAGCACACGATGGTTTTAGTGATGCTGGGGTGAGCGTTGCTCCCGTGGTCCCGACCGTCCCCGTGGGTTTTAGGTGTCACAGCAGCGGTGGGGAAGGCGGCCTGCAGCTCGTGGGGTCGAGCCCGTGGCCTGAGCTCTGCCTTTGCCCACCCCCGGGCAGGGGGACAGCGGGCAGGAGCAGGCAGTGCGGTCCATGGCCTGGGTTTTCAAGCCTGTGTCAATATGTATTCTTCAGGCTCCCTTTGTAAAGAATCCTTCTCAGGCCAAGTCCCTGCTACGTCTCTCATGCCGCTCACTCCATTTTGGACTCTGCTTCAGTCCTCTGTCCCGGTCCTCCAACCTCCTTTGCCTTTGGAAATGCCTCCGCCGCCTCC